ATATAAACAGCTTTTGCCTTCCAGAAGCTTGAACGCTGCACCCAAATGATACCTGAAAGACACTAATTTAGAGAAGATAGAGCACTATCAGTAGTTCTTATATATATTTTCCTTCTGTCTTCAGAAGAGAATTGTATGTCCTAACCCCATACCAGTAAAAGAAAGGTTTATTTTCACCAGCAACTACTAATGAAAATTAGAATTAGAACTAACAATTTGGCTTTTGAAATAAAGCAAGTTTTATTTAGCTAATTATAACTTCAGAATACTGCAATTATTAAAGGGATTTAGTTCATTTATTTCTATTAATCACCTCTGGTTTAAAATACAGTGGTGAAAACCAGCTTCAAACGATTTTCTACATCTGAACACACAAAAATTATAGTGCAAGTCCCAGCATAATTTATACTGTGCTGTGTGCCCCTCAGAGCACTCATCAGAATCAGCATTCACCATAATAGGTGAATGTCTAAATGTATACAGCATTCTGACTGCTGACATTCTGTACATCTCTATATTAGCCATTGCCTAACCTATTAATCACAGTATCTTTTGCAACCCTTCCTCACCCCTGCCCCCCTTTCAAATTAGCTGTCATCTTCCCCAATGTACCTTCAATCAGCCCCTAATCACGTAGTTAAATGCATGTTAGTTCTCCAAATGAGTAATGGATGACTTCCAGTGATTCAATAGTGCCCCAAACAGATAAACTTTATTGGTGAATTGAAAAGATTACAGTCTACACAGTGTCAATTCCAGGACTGATGTTGAAACCTGAATACACCTAGTCTGCAAGAGAATGGCCTAAATTCAGATAATAGTGGACAGTCAAAAACTTGTTTCACTAGTCTTTAAGATTAGAAGTGTCGGTCTTATTGGCTGTATGTTATCTACTCAAACTACATGGCCTTGCTCATCTTCACACATTAATGCAATGAATCCTTAAACATATACAAATGGGTGCTGTACTTCAGCAAAACTGAACTGTTGCCCTTCTCTGGACATGTTTCAGCCCCTCAATGTCTGTCTTGTCGTGAGGGACCAAACACTGAACACAGCATTTAAGGTGCGGTGTCACTCCCCTACATACTGGATTGTGTCCTAGAAGCACACAAAAGAATGGAGCACCTACTCGTGAATTTCCTAACCCCCGGGTAGCTATAGGAGTGCTGCTTTCTGTAGTGCACTTGAGAATCCCACCACAACTTTCATAGATTCTAAATAGCAATATCAGCACACCCTCAGTTTTATAATCCAGCATTTGTATGAATCGCAGCTGAGTCACAAGAGATAAATGCAGAAAGCTCATTCCATCCTGATGTAAAAGGAAGAGTGTGTTATGAAATCATATTTGCAGGGAGTGCTCCCTTGGTAAAGGATGAGGAGGGAAGCCTGAGGTTTGTCTACCGAATGCACAATATCACACTCAAAATTACTAAGAAGAAAACAACGAAGGAAGGAAGCTCGTAAGAGTAATTCTCATGGAAGCACACAAGGAGGAAACTGTGATGGCTCCCAGGAAAACATAAACGGCAGCACAGAACAAACCTCAACCGCAGAAACCCGTTCATAAGTTGAAGTCCACTGCTCAGGACCTGTTCCTCCGGACAGCCAGTGCAGCATCCACGCCAGCAGGATCCAGCCCTGCATTGCACTCTAGGCAAGCAGCGCAAAGCTCGTGCTGATGGCTTGTGAGGCCCTGGGGCCCCGCTCCGAGCCAGCTCCGGCGGAGCTGCGCTGCAGCGGCCGGGGCCTCTGCGCGGAAGAACCTGTGGCGGAGGGAGAGTCACCGCGGCGGCGATAGGACCCAGGGCGCGCCCCTGGCAGCAGGGAGGGGCGAGCAGCCACGGACCCGCCGCGCGGGAGCGCTCCCCAGCCGGCGGGACCAGACGGTCTGGGGCGGGTCTGCGTGGGCACACGGGGACAGCGGGCTGCGGTCCGGCGCGAGCACGGACATCCTCACGCTGAGGCGCGGGACGTGACTCAGGTACTGAGGCGGAGCCGTCGTGCGTGATGGTGCGGAGTGTTTGCCGGGCGCACCCGGACGAACGCCGTGGGGAGTGCGGGGTGGGGGGTCCGGAGCCGGGTGAGCCGAATGCAGAGCGCCGGGCTGACCGAGGTTGCTTCTCTGCGTGGGGCTCTCTCGGGCAGCGGATGCGCCCGAGCGCCGCCCAAGCTTTGGGCAAAGCGCGGCTTACGAGTCGCAGGTTCATCCCTTGCCCAGAGGCTGCGCTGAGCGCCGATGGGGACGTGGGCACCGACGCCGACTGTCCTCACACCCCTTGGCACCACCCCACGAGAGTCGGCGGGGCGCCGTCCCGCCGGCTGCGTTTCTCCTCGCTCATGGGACCACGCGGGCGCACCTCTTCGTCGGGAAACCCGCGTTGCCGTATGGATCGCCCAATGTCCTCAGAGCCACCGGCCTGAAAGCGCTGTCCGGGCGCTGAGCGGTGCTGGCCACCGAACCCCGCTCCGCCTGCTACGAGAGAGCGCTGGCCCCAGCTTCTCCTCTGGCGGCCGAGTCACGCCTTGGCGCGTAGTGCCGCCAGCCCGAGGGCACGTACAGTGCCACGCCGGTGGCTCGTGGGACACCCGCGAGCTCGGGCTTTGTTTCCGCCATTCGTGGCCTCACACCACTACTGGGGCGCGAGGGTCTCCGCCAAAGCCTCGCCTCTGCGGTCCCTTCGCTACTGCTCACCTCCTGTTTCAGTGTCGAGCCCCGGGAGGTGAATTTGGGTTCTTTGTCATAGCGGTGACCGTTCAGGTCTGTCAGAGAGAGCGACGAGCAGCCTGAGGGACTGTTCCCTCACAAGGACACCATCGCAGCCCCGGGCGTGAACTCCGTTACTGGCTTCAAGCACACTAAGAACGGTAGGGTGGAATCGCGCGGCATCTCCCTGGTCTGCGTGAGGATCGGCCGCGGCGGCGAACCGAGCCCTCCGCGGGAGGCTGAGGGCTGCGCGGGCTACGTGCCCGCCCCGGAGCGCCGCGCGAGCGGCCGTGGCCGTGGCGACGCCGCGACCGCCACCATTGTATTCCCAACCCCTCTCCCTCCTACACCCCCTTCCTCGCGGCGGCCGCCGTAGCCCCTCTCCATCTCTTGGGAAAGGGCATTTTTCGGACGCTGCTCGCAAAAAACTTGGAGGGGTCTTCGGCTTGCCTTCTAAGCAATTCTGTGGAGAGAAGAAAAAGCGCACAAAGGTGGAGTTGAATTTCAGTAATTCAGCTTCCTCACAGGCGCAGACCGTTAGCACTAGTGGAAACGCACGCCTCTTGGGTAAACTGTTCAATTTAGAATGTCACAGAGTAAAGTCATGTACGGTTTTGCAGTGTTTATTTCAGATGAAGCAGTGTGGCAGCCGTTTTAAAATATAAATCAGAATCTATTAGTACAGTACACCTCTTGTAGTTCAGTCAGAAGTATAACTCAAGGTATATTATAGAAATAAGAAGGTGGTGTTTTAAATTGTATCTGAAGTGGCAATTTACATATCTTTATGTATGACACCCTATTATGCAGCTGCACTGTCCAAAGTGATTATATAAAATGACACCTCTGAGCCAGACGATCTTTTCTCACTGTATTCAGCTACATGTGCTCACTTAGCTTGAGATACGGTGCATGTGCATGCGAGCACTTCATATATATATATATATATATATATTATGGTAGTTTCATGGAATTCTGCAAAAATAAATGCAAATGCCCAGCTGGTGACAGGACTAGACACTTAGTTAGTATTCATCTAGCGCTGTCATTTTTTGGTTTTATACGAAACAATATAAGGACACTTCTCCACTATAAGCAATTGTCATGCATTTATGTTTTTCTAAAGCTTCAGCGCATTGCAAAGCCATCACAGCTGCAGGGCTGAAATTAATTTTCATGAGACATGAAAAAGAGTTGTAAGTTGTTCCTAACGGAAGTTGGGATTCTGCAACTTATGTTTTTGAAATATTATTATTATATATTATTATAAAATATACTAATATATTATTATATATGATATAGCATATATCATTATATTATTATTATTTTGAAATATTCTGCAACTTATATTTTTTAAAACAGTCAGATAATTACAATATAACCTAAGGCACGTTTGTCACTTTTCTGTGAACACAGAAAGAGCATGTGCTCTCTGGTGTTAAGGTGCTGCTCTGATGCTGACATTAAGAATTTATGGTGAAAGATGTGGTGTAAAAAAACCCACAGACTTTTAGCAAAATAAATCCATTTCTCCAGAAAATGGGCATTTGCTATGGATACAGTAACTCTGGAGGTCGACAAAGCTATTGTAATAGGACTAGTATATTTGTTTCCCCAAATAATATAACGAGTGGGGCTCTAACATTTTCATGATACAAAATAAAACAAGCAAATGAATAGTCACAACTTTCCCTACAGAACACTTTACCCAGATAACAGAATGTAGGCTGGTTAGTGTTATCTGCTACATATAAAATTGCAGTGTGAATTTACTGTCAGTGCGGTCTGCTAATAACTTGTAATGGATGTTACTCACTGTGCAGCAGCAGTGAACAGTTCAGATGTTTTGAGGCTAAATGGGAACTGGAAAATGATTAATAGCCAAGATTTGGTATGGAACGTCACTTGCAGCTACAGACAGCACAGAATTATCGTAGGAGTTCTGAGAGGGAGATGAGAGAATGGGGCAAACTGGCAAACCTTTAAGAAAGGCAGTAGAGCTGGGAACTTGTCTCAGTTGAAATAGAGGAGGCCAAAACGGGACAGTGGCAGTCACTGTGGGGCCTTGTAAGGAGGACAGGAGGTCAGGATAGGCATTGACAAATATGGTAATGATTTTGTAGGGAACAGAAGTTTGCAGCAGCCTTTGGAATGAGCATATAATTCAATATGGCTAATATTTAAGCAGGTGAGCCACAGGAAATGCACTAGTGGGTTATACCACTGACCCATCTAAATGGCTTCTATGACGTTCCTGAGTTGTAATAAAATATGATCTAAAGATATATGTATTTGTACTTTAGATTATCAGGAAAGAGTTAAAGTCATGGTGAATAGGCAGATGTCAGTGATGTCAATACAAAGGGTAGTTGTTCTATATGCAGAGGGCTATCATAAGGGTCTGGAGAATATTAAAATAGAAGTATTTTTTCAGGAATAGTTTCCTGAAAAAATTCAGCAGAGTTGGTTAGTCTTAGGAATCCTTACTTAAAACCAAGAATAACATGCATATTTTGTTTAGTCTGCTTAGATTTTAATACCCTTGGGCAAATACAGGAGGTTTGTAACTCCTATTAACACAGTGTTGAGCAGCCTATGCTTTTCAATGTATTCATACCCCCACCACCCTATGAAGAGGGAATCATTATTTTCTTTGTTTCACAGATAAGAAAACTGAAGGAGGATCTCTACATTACTCAGTTTATACCATCTTCCTTATTTTGTAGCTATGTATTTCTCAACTGGGTGGAGTTCCAGACTGAAGTCTAGGCTGAACTGGGTTGCCTACTTGGAAGCTTATGTTCTGTTTTTGATAACCATCTTTTATTTGTATCACAGAAATTCAAGGTTGTGTAGATTTCAGCCATAGTTAGAAGATATTAATTATTCCTGAGAATTCTTGAAATTAATTCTTCTTGAGAACAGTAAGTTCTCAAGCTATATAGGTCAGTGTACATGCTCATAAATGTCCTTCCTACCCACACTGCTGACCATTAAGTACAGCTATGTTGCCAATAAGAGTATTGGCTAAACACAAATAATAGATTCTTGCTATTTCTAGCTGGTCTCTTTTATAATACAAATGTTCACCTTTTATATACATCATCCCAGAAACCACACCATCACACCACCCACAATGCTACCTAATATTTCCTCCTAACTGAGTCTATATTAGTTTCCATGACAACAAGAAGATAATATCAGGAAGATGAAACCCCAGATGCTACCTTTGTTTTACACATTACCAAAGCAAGAACCCATTAATGACAGAAGGAATCTGGAATAAGTACTGACAATACTATCGTATCTTTTGTGGAGATGCGAAACTGAGGCAGTTAAATGTAATCCTTTGCCTCTAAATAGGGCTGAGCTAGCCAAAGGACAAAGTAAAGCAAGCTCTTGCAATAGTTAGGCAGGAGGCTCCTGTCTTAGCAGGTTTTGATAATATCTCAGCACTGTAGCAAAATCTTAAGTAAAGAGATTTTTTTTTTCTGCACAGGTTGACCTGTGCAGATCAACCACAAGCCTGCCTTTTCTAAAGGTGGTACCTCTTGTTTGTACATTCTGCACAGGAACCTCCGCACTACTTCCTTATTATTTCTTAAGGAAGTGACCAGTCTTAGCCTAGTAAGGCACACCAGGACGAAGTGCATTCTTGCTGTTTTTATGGAGACAGCATTCATTTAGTTCTGGTTAATGGTCTTTGTATTCTGATGCCTTAACATGAACAACCAATGGACAAAAGCAGATGAATAACATTGATTGTAGAATCATAAGAGTGGTTTGGGTTGGAAGAAACCTTGAAGTTAATCTCATTCCAACCCGCTGCCATGGCAGGAACACCTTCCATTAGGCCAGGTTGCTCCAAGCCCTGTCCAACCTGGCCTGGAAATCTTCCAGGGATGTGACAGCCACAGCTTCTCTGGGCAACCTTTGCCAGGGGCTCATAATCCTTAAAGAATTTCTTCCTAATACCTAATATAAACCTAATGTCAGTTTGAAGCCATTCCCTCCAGTTCTATCACTACATGCCCTTGTAACAAGTCCCTCTCCAGCACTCTTGTAGCTGCTTCAGGCACTGGAAAGGTGCAGTAAGGTTTCCCCAGAGCATCCTGTTCTGCAGGCAGAACAATCCAAATTCTCATCAACTCTTCCCTTTAAGAGAGCTGTTTCTGAGGCACTTGTGTGCAAATGTTAACCACTCTTGAAAGGATGGCATTTGAAGATCTGGTGTGCCGGCTTATGGTGATTTTTAGCCAAATGTTGTAGTAGACATGATGTAAAGGAGAGTAAATGGATATTACTGTGTATTTCCCTGTAGGCCTATTTTTACGAAATGCTGGAAAGTAGGCCAGGTTCCCTCTGGTAAGTAGCTCTTTCATCACAACAAAACATAAACCCGTTTTAGAGACTGTTCCTCATGGCGAAGTTCCGTAAGGCAGGTTCAACCGAATGTGTCTCTTACAGGCTGACTTGCTTTGCTGGGCAGGGAAGAGCTCAAGAACGGCCAGGAAGGAGGACGTTTCCCCGTCCTGTGGAAGCACCGGGTTCCGGCAACCCCGGTTGCGAGCGCTGGGCGGGGGTGCGGCCCCGGCTCCGCCCGCCCCGCGCCCGAGTCACGTCCCGCACGTCTCGGTGCGGCGGCCGCCCGCGCGCGCGGGGCGGGGCGGGGGAGCTGGGTCGCCAGGCTCGGTGCGCCGGGTGCCGAGTTGACTTCTGGCCCCCCGAAAAGCTTGGACAGCTTTCTTCTGGAAGGAACAAGTGAGCCGCCAAGTAGTTCTTAACGGTGTTTCTTCTCAAAGCCACTCGCCGCTTCATATTGTGTCCATGTCGTTTGCTATCGGGGTTCAGCACTGTAGGTTTGCAGAGGCTGCTCTTATAGCAACTTCGCTGTAGACGCAAAGACTGTCCCAGCGTATGCGCAGAAGGCCCTGAATGTCCCCATCCAGCACTGTATAAGCACTCTGGAGAGATTGCCAGTTGCTACTTTTCAACAGTGCATGCTCATGTATTATTACTAACTTCGTGTTGCTATTAGATGGGTAACGGAAACAAACAAAAACTGCCCAACTCTTCCTCCAACATTTTAAACCTTCACTCCAAATGACATATTCTGACAACTTGGAAGTAGTGTGTGACAATGCTTCCTACCCCCTGAAGTGCTTCATTTTTACATCTTATTCCTATTCTTTATATATTTGAGCCGAGATTCACCAAATACTACTTTTTCTCACTGATTATGTAATAACAACAATGGAAAGTATTTGCTTTAGGCAGGCAGTTGTACTGAGCACTGCTTCAGTTATTAACTCCCAGCATCCACAAAAACGGCTCATGGAGATTTTCATTGCACTTTAGTTTACGAACTTACTTGATGTGAAAAATGATAGCTCATCATCATCTCAAAGGCATCTTTCTATCTTTTGAAGATAACAGTGTATCAGGGGTGTACTACTGTGCTCAGTGGGGAATAAAAAAAATCTGGGTGATTAGTCCACCATTTCACACAACACTTGTGATGCACCAGGTCTCCTACGTGAATAGGCCAGAAGCTTCATGTAACAAGGTCTTATATAAAAAAATCTTGCAGGCTTTAATGCAGGAATTATTGCATATTTATACACCCCTGAAGTGCTGTTATGGCTTCAGTTTTTTGATGAAACAGTGATTTGGGTGCAATCCAGCTCTGACTCTGAGAGCTCTGAGGGGCCATTCATTTAAAACTCAGCTGGGTACATCTCATTTTCATGTATTTTTTGCAAGCTTCGTAACAACTGAACTCAAGCAAGGAATAGTTATAATTGAACTGCATCCTCAAGACTTCTAAGTAGTTCTGTGCCTTAGTTTTAATGGTAGTGCAATTTTATAGACACTAATTGCTTTTTGTTTCTTAGGGAACACACAAGCTTCTTCGTCATGGGAGCTGTCGTAGCTGATGATGGTCCATCAGGTGTTAAAGCCCCTGATGGAGGCTGGGGCTGGGCTGTCCTTTTTGGCTGTTTTATCATCACAGGATTCTCCTATGCCTTTCCTAAGGCAGTCAGTGTCTTCTTTAAAGAACTTATCCGGGAATTTGGCATTGGATATAGTGACACTGCATGGATTTCTTCCATTCTGTTGGCCATGCTTTATGGAACAGGTGAGTAGTTATCTGGTTTTGAAACAGTATTGTGTCATACAATTAAGTTTGTAAATCTTACAACCATTTACAGTGTGTATCATGACTGCATATCATTACTTGTGTGCAAGTAAGGCATTCCAAAGAAGAATTACTATTAATCACATAAATCAAAAGATTATTTAAGCCCATCCAGCTTGGATTTAAAATTACATCTCTGTAACTCAGTATTTGCTAAAGATGATGAAAAAGAAAAATCACAAGGCACTCTGAAGACAAAAAAGACTGAAGTACTTGACTACAGAGGAAAGGACATTTTTCCTAATTGGCTTGGCTGTATGGACAAAGTACAAAGTGAAGTCAGAATTACTGAGGGTGGAATGACCTTAGATCTTTAAGATCATTGATTCCAGCCATGAATGTTACACTTTGAACTCCAACAAAGAAATACAAGGTGTCATAAAATCAGTTGCAAAAGCTGGTTTATCTTAGCACCTGTAACTTGCTTTTCTTGCCTAGGTCCGCTTTGTAGTGTATGTGTCAATCGCTTTGGTTGTCGCCCTGTCATGCTGGTGGGTGGCCTTTTTGCCTCAATGGGGATGGTGATAGCTTCCTTCTGCACAAGCATCGTTCAGATCTATCTAACTGCAGGTGTGATTACCGGTAAGTACTACGCATTGCTGAAAATGAGTTAACTTAGGTCTTAGCTTTACGGTGAAGTTTTGTATAAGNGTGAAAAATACCTGAAACATCAGGATTACCCAACTGGGCTTGTAAAGATGGCAGATAAATGTGGAATTAAAAGGTCATTAATTTTTGTTATGAATGTTTAATAGCATGAAGTGTAATCATAAAGTACAGGAATACTATGGGGGTAGAATACTTTGTGTTATCTTAGTGGTCTTTTGTCCATTTGGACTAAAACTATTTTCTCTTAAGTCATGAGTCAGAACAATTGTAATTAGAGTATCTTTAACAATGATATTGCAGGCCAGTATTAATTTTTGTGTACCCTCTACTACAGGTTTGGGTTTGGCACTAAACTTTCAGCCTTCACTCATCATGTTAAACCGTTACTTTGACAAACGCCGGCCCTTAGCCAATGGGCTCTCTGCAGCTGGGAGTCCAGTGTTTCTTTGTGCTCTCTCACCGTTGGGGCAGATACTACAACATGAGTATGGTTGGAGAGGAGGATTCCTTATCCTGGGTGGGATGCTGCTCAACTGCTGTGTATGCGGAGCACTAATGAGACCTTTGGAACCACCCAAAAAGGCTGAAGCTACCAAAGAGCCAGCTGAGAAGAAAGCGAAGAAAAAACTTCTGGATTTCAGTGTGTTTAAAGACGGTGGTTTTGTAATCTATGCTATAGCAGCATCTATCATGGTGCTTGGCCTCTTTGTTCCCCCAGTGTTCGTTGTGAGTTATGCCAAGGATTTAGGATATCAAGACACTAACGCAGCTTTTCTTCTGACTATTTTGGGATTCATTGATATCTTTGCTCGCCCAGTCTGTGGAATGGTAGCTGGTCTTAAATGGGTTAGACCACGCTGTGTCTACCTCTTCAGTTTTGCTATGATTTTTAATGGCTTTACAGATCTCATGGGTTCTCTGTCTGCTGATTATGGTGGACTGGTGGTCTTTTGCATTTTCTTTGGCATTTCTTATGGAATGGTAGGTGCTCTTCAGTTTGAAGTTCTCATGGCTATCGTTGGTACACAGAAGTTTTCCAGTGCTATCGGTTTAGTGCTCCTGGCAGAAGCTATGGCTGTTCTGATTGGCCCACCATCAGCAGGCAAGTATGCCATTTAGTTCAGAATTTGAAATTGTGTGCATTGCATCCATTTACACAAAATGTAAGGGAGCTGAGAAAAAGATGCGAGTCACTCGAGAAACGCAGATTGTGCTAATGTTGCACGTTTCAAAGGCTTTCTGCAGTTAAACTCTGACATAGTCCAAGAACGGATGGAATGAACCTTTTCCTTCTTGGATCTATTTCAGAGTTGGTTAAATTGCCATCTGGAGATGCTATTTCTTCTTTGAAAGCCTGCACTGAACTTCTTATTGGCAGATAGCTGACTGGGATTCAGAATATGAAACCTGTCAATTTTTTGGGGGGGAAATACTAGTATACATTCTCTATATCCGCAGTAGATTTGGAGGAGGAAAAAATACATCTGAAGGAAAAAAAAATCTTACAGGAAGGACTATAAAACTGGCCAGATTTAAGGAAGAAAGAGTGCTTCCATTGCATGTCTCACAACCCAAGAATAAGGAGACATGACAAAATAGTAAAATTAATTAATTTGAAGTCAAAATACAAATTAATTACTAATCAAAGAATATACAGACCCTGAACTGAATTTTACAGACCCTGAACTGAAACACACTTTTCCTGCCAAAACCCACAAGGTCACCACCATAAAATGTTTACTGTTTATACCAGACACTACAAACATCAAGTACTTTTATTTTGGCAGAACCCCCTTCATGGGAAAATCAATACTGTGTAGTACTTCATCTTATCTTTAGGTTTGGAGAGGCACTTCCTTCATAACCTCCTACCTGTTCTTTCACATCCACCAAGTCCTGTGAAAATTTACCTTTACCAGTGTCAGAATCTGTCAGTTACTCCAGAGTCACTATTGAATAAGATTTGCATTTTAAGCCGACAGTGCACTGCCCGTGTAGAAAGGTAAATGAGATTGGGAGCAAGAGGATAATGATGATCAGATCATGATACAGATCCCATCCATGGACGCACACATTTTTATCTGAAATACAAAGCACGTGTTTGATCTCTTGCTTATGAAGGCGAGGCTGGTTTTATTTCAGATGAACTGCATGCCTCCATGTGTGCAGCGGAGTATGTGTTTTGAGACGTCATGTAATGTCAGTGACTGTTAAAACTGAACTGAAATAATTGAGAAATATTTTGTTATAAACTTGTTTAAATCCAATTTAAAAAAACTTGGTTAGGTAGTCATGGGGATTCTAGACAAGAGAGTCAAAATGTTTTAAAAAGGCAGAAAAATATTCGCTGCAAGACAATCACTTTTATTAATTACCTGGAATGTTGCTTTTTTCAGGAAAGCTCCTGGATGCAACGGGAAGGTACATGTTTGTTTTCATTATTGCTGGAATTGAAGTTACCACCTCAGCTCTTGTATTGGCCTTGGGAAATTTCTTCTGCATTAAGAAAAAATCAGAAGAACCACATACAAAAGAAGAAGCAGCAGAAAGAGAGGAATTAAACAAATCTGAAAACAAAACTCCTGACGATGCCAAGGTGGACTCTATTGAAGTGGAGCAGTTTCTGAAAGATGAGCCTGAAAAAAATGGTGAAGTTGTAACTAACCCAGAAACATGTGTGTGAGCATGACAAGGAACTGAAAAGTGTTCAGAAGAGAAAGATTTTCAACACTATTTATTTTAGAAACAGAAATAGTTTAGGTGTGGGCCATTTGCTTTAGTAACTGGGGGCTAGTCAGCTCACCAGGTCTCTTTGGAAGCTGATTAGCTAGACAACATCTTACTGGATAATTAGCTTTATTGGTAAAAGGTGGAACACTGTGGTTATACATTTTATGTAAACTAAAAAGCTTTTATGAACACCAGTAGGCTCTTGCTATGCATCACCAGAAACTGCTCACTTGGAAGATACAGGAAAAGCATATTTAAGAAAAGTGGAATTATATATATGTTTTCAGACAATATTGATGAAATTGCTGTGTTGTGTGGCTAAATATAATTTCCCTATGTTCTCTGTGAAAGGAAGAGTTTGAGATGGATAAAAATCTCAGGAACTTAAAGGTCTCCATTAGATTTTTTTAATTTCTTACCTTTTTAGATTTCTTAGAATAGGATCAGCCCTAATTTAATTTTGATAATAATGTAACTTTGATTTATGTAAATGCATTTCTGCCTAAACCTGTAACTTTTGCAATTATCATCTGTTCTTGCTGTTTGAGGAAACATGATAGAACATGATACCTAATTTTTATAATGGCATGATACTGAATAGAAAAGGAAGGCATTCTAATTTTTTTCCACCCAAAACCACTAAAAAAATGTCATTTTTTTAATATAAAATCATGCTACTGCACCTCACCTCTCAAATCTGCTTATAAAAAGCTGTCTAGGCTTTGTAACTGCAGTAACAATCTTCAAAACAGACTAACTGTAACAGATTCCATTTTCTTAGTAGTAGCAAAGGAATATTGGCTTTCAGGTGCCAAAATTGTTCCACTTAATAACTGAAAACGAAAAGACCCTAATCCCTTAAAACTCAGTATCCCCTTTAAATTTTTAACAGAAACAAAGTGCCAAAACCATGAACCATTCTCTAGTGAACTATCACAGAGACCAGCTTCCATTTTGGAAGTTTCTTCAAAATGATTTTGCATTTTTGGAACAACATTGCATAGAAATCGGAAAGTTAGAATCATAACTTTTAAAAGAAATGGATGCTGCGTAAAATAAACTGTTTTTATATCCTGTGTAGTGCTTTATTTTGAAGTCTTTTATTAATTTAGTGGCAGCAATTGTAATGAATGACACTTCCCAGTTGTAACAGCTTACGTACTGAACTTCGCTCCAGTTTACTAAAGACTAAATTGATCCTTGAAACACAACACTGAGAGCTCCAGAAGGCAAGAGAAAAACGGAATCCACAGAGTAATTTATTATATCCTTGGAGACTGCTTCAGATGATACATGAAGGCCTGATACACCTTTCAGATTGGAGTCTCCCATTGTTCCAAAAAACAAAAACCAGAAACCTTTCCAAAGGTGAATTCAGATTCTCAGAGAGCCATTTTTGTCTTACTGTATGCTTCGATCACTGGATTTCTTTGCTAGATAATGCCATGCTGTTATCACAGAACTAAATGGTTATTCCTTTGACCTCAGGTTTTGGCACAATTTTAAGTTTCTGTACATTCTGCAAAGTGTCTAGACTGCTTAATACATGACAGAATGTCATTTGTGCTTATCACACAGACTTTCTAGACTATATTTCATTTTCCATACATAATACTTTTATGGTTAAGCTGGAAACAGAAAATTTTATGTTGCAATTTTGTGTGATTTGAGACAGAAGAGGAAGTTAGGAAGACAAGGAGACGCGTTTCAACAAGAAACCATAAATAGTCTTGTAAGGAAAACTTGTAAGTAAAATAAGTAAAAAGTGTTCACAGAAAGTCCTCATTTGCCTATGCAAGTTATTTTCTTCAACTCAATCACTCTGACTGGGACTGCCAACGCTCTTCTGCCATTTTCAGCACAGACCTACCAATGGTTTGCAGTATTTATGACAGCAGAAGATGCTTACTGAATGAGAGCAGTCAAATCAAAGGACCCCTCTATTGACTGTGAGGGAAAAAAGGGTTATAATTTAATTCACTAAGCAGTTTAAAAAGCCATATGAGCAGTGTAGAATCTTTCATAATTGTAATTAATTACAAGAAGCATCAATACAAAGGTGAGAAACTCCTAATGCAGCTCTCTTAGCAACATCAAAAGTGGCAGGCTTGAGAGTACTTTGGAGTTCCAGAGCCAATTAAGGTCCTTGCTCCCATTCTGTCCAATTCAAGGGTAACATCCAAGTGTGTGCTAGCCCTCCAATCCTCTTTCTGTTCAGCTGCCTTTATCTTCTTGGAAAGGGTTTTGTTATACTGATGGGAAGGAAACCTCCATGCCAGATCCCTAGGCTGGACACCTGCTGGCCACTACACGAGACTGTGCTGCAGCCTGTATCCAACCGCTCCCATCAGCATGGCTGCAAAGGCCTTCACACTCATCTCCTGTTTTACACATCTCTCTCCTTCCTCACCAATGTATTAAAAAACCAAAACCAACCAAAACTAAAACCCGCAAGCAGCTAGTCCTTAGGTTCCCAGCACAATCCAGCCAGGCTCCTTTTTAATTTAACTCTGCTTATTGTAAATATTTAAATAGATTGATAGATATTAAAAAATATGTATTTTGTATCTTTAAAAGCAAGGAATTTATTTAAAATTCCTGCAGGGAATTTGGCACTGTATTTCTTTAATCTCAATACCACTAAGATGCCCTTAAGAGATGTCTGCAAGATGTGCTCATCCATATATTTTGAGGCTGTACGTGGTCGAAGCCATAAAGCATTGCTAAAGAGACTGATTGCTCAGGGTCACAGGCAGACAGTTTCTTGCCATATCTACCCAGATGAACTTTTGTTCAACCTTCACCTGATCAAAATGTTGTGATTTGAAAAAAACAGAAAAGGAAAAGGAAGGGAATGTAGGCAATTATGCAACTGAATTGCCAAACATCCAAAGATTATAGTTTACTCCTGTATCATTGAAACCAATTTTAATTAATTTAGACACAGAGCTCATGAATACATCTAAGAAGTCTGGAAAATAAACAGTCAAAAAACCAAAACAGTTTTCAAGGATTACTTCCCTGAAAGTAGTGAATGGTCTTTTACCCTGCAGGCTAGCAAAATTTTTAAAGCATTCTGGATCTTCATACATTCTATAAATTGTGTACTATAGGTTTATGGTTAAAATACTGTATGATTGATTATGTAATGGATCTTAGGAAAATAAGGGGCTGATGCAAGGAGAGGAAATGCATATAAATGCCAGTAATACACAGAGACTATATAAAAAAGTATACATGTGTTTGCACATACATATTTACATAGGTGTATACATATGTACATGTATGTACATATATATGTATATATATATAACATGCAAAATACCCACAGGAGTAGATTAGAGACAGTTTGCCCATTTGTTAGACAATAAGCAGAGTTAAAATTATTTTCTTCCTCCTATACAGAGATCAGTTTGCTTTTTTGAAAATTCTTAATGAAATATTTTGTAGCTATTTGGAGCCTAGAAGACCTCAGCAGAGCTAGAAGTCTTAAAGTGATGCAGCTATCTGTTTCAAGCTTAGCCAGTTCCCTAAAGTTGAGACTTGAGTTAGTATGAAGGTACGGTGTAAAGGACTGGCAAGATCTTGTGCTAATATTAAATTCCAGCCACACCAACATGTATTAGGCAATGTAGAATGATTCTTTAAAAATAAATTAGAACATTCCCCTAATCAAACAACCAAACTTCAAAATGAAAAAGCAAAATATTTATGCACCTTTGGTACATCCCAAAGAAAATGTTTAGTTTGGTAGACAATCATAAACAGAAGAATTTCAGAATGCAAACTCTTCTGTGTTAACAGCGGTAAGTACTGACTCTTGTGTATGTGCATCTGTGTCTCTTTGCCACACCTGTCTTTAGGATTATGGAAATACACTTCAATTTTGCGCAAGATGACATTTTGTTTGTTAATGAACTTCAATGTAATGTGTATACCTATATTTTTTTAATGCTTTTCTAGTAAACTGTTGCAAATGTAGTGAATAAATACCTGGTTGTCAAAAAGTGTGGGTTTGAGAAAATAAGCTCAGAAGAAATTTTTAACAAGACAATATGGACATTGGGCTTCATTTGCACATGCCTAAAACAGCTACACAGGGACAAGAGTGTTTATATAGAGAAGAGCTGACACTTCGTTGACAGACAGCCAAAATTTAATGTGAGCAAGGGGACTGATTTTGCCATGACTCATAGTTCGGCTAATTTCAAATGGACATGTGCTTCTGCTGTAAATGATCCTGAAGACTATTTCAAAGCATCATCTAATTTAAAATAGCAGCAATTAATTTTGTGCTGTATAAAAAATATTAATGTTCGCCTCTGAATAGTGCTCCAGGTTTTGTTTGCAGGCAAAGTTTTATGAACTGTCATGACTTATAAAGCCCAAAATATTTTGAACACCAACAGGTCAGGAAGCTGTCTTTACTGTCAAGTGATGCTCTTTAGAACTTGAAAGCTCCCAAGAAAACACAGTGTAGGCAGACATTTATGTTGTGGTTTTTTGGCTCCTATGGTACCTTAGCTAGGACTGGGTACTCAAGGTATAATCTCAAGGCTACACCCAAGGGAATCAAAATTACAAGCTCTTCCATGTAGCAAACCCTATCTCTTGCAATATGAAGACTGGTACTTATTTGTGCTTAATTCTAAGCATCTCTGGCAAGAAATCTCAGAAATCTCTCTAAGCTCACTGTCAAAGGGTTCTCTGTAGATATAAACTGAAAAGCTCATAGGTCTAGTTTACATAAACCCCCATGTTTGAATAGATACAATTATTACCTTTTTTATGCTAGCTTAATTAAAATGGCAAGATTTAAGGTGTGATCAAAGGCTTTGCCATCCCAATGGCCAAGTCAATCCATATGCTGCCACAGGAATTAATGTTACCAGGTGGACTAAAATGACAGAACTTATTAGCGTGTAGTCAACCCACCCTTGTGACAGAAACCCAGAGTTTATCTTTGCCTCTGGTTCTGAGTCAGTAAGAAAAAAGTAGGACCACTCACTGTAGGGGAAAACGGGCTCGACCTGAGTTGCACAGCTGCTGTTCCCTGCTGCTAGACCTGTTGAAGAAGTACTCTTCTACTTGTGGAAGAGAAAACAACCTTGACAACAGCAGAGGCACTGCATAGGAGAAGCAACAACTTTGCAATGGATTGTTTTAGCAGCTTTCTCAATGCTTCTGAGATGGAGCTTGTGTTTGTGCCAGTAAGAAAAAGATGTATCTACTGAAGAGCATTAAAATGCTTATGCTCTTAAAAGCATTTTGCTAGTGACACAGTCTGTGAGATCAGCTGTCCTCTATTTGTCTGAGAATGTATGGCAAATTAGAGACAGAGTAAAAAGCTACTTACTTCTAGTTATACACCGTTAGTTCCTTGACTCTTCATATATGCTTCATCATGTCAAGACCATTTGAGCTGGCAGCCTTCCTCACTACTCCCAGATGAATATTTCAGAGCATTAAGATAGGATAGCTCTAGCTCTGACTTTTCATCTACTCTTTTCAACAGTTTACAACCTTTCACAATAAAACTCTGAATTCAATGAATCAGTGTATCCAGATATTAGTACTTAAAACTCTTACATAGCAAAAGACATTTTGAGTCTTGTTGAAAAATATGCCTTAAGATCCATTGTTGACATGTCAGACAAATGAAAAACCACATTTTTTTAGCTGTGAGAACAGAGAAACATTTGCTGCTCGGGGTCTTCCAAGAAAAAGATCCATGCATGACCTCAAACTATCCCCGTTTATCCTTTCCTTAAAGATTTAAGGGAAATACCAGAAGCTGTGTCCTGCCTTTGTGCCTGTAATGCCTGCAGGTCTGAACCAAGCTGAGGACTGTAATTAAGCAAAAATTTTTTTTCTTGTAGCGTGCTAAGGACTAAGTGCTTTCTTCCTAGTGCATGATGCAGTGCATAATGTTGCAAATGAAGTCTTGTTTTCTTCCACATCCCATCCCAAGCATCCTGATCACAGCAAAGACACTGTAGACTAGGGCTTAATAACTCAGAATGATTTGAACCATTTCTCCCTTTTTCTACTTTTACACATTCTTCTTTGTTCATTAGGCATATAGTTATATACACACCTCAGATCTAGATCTTGAGCCTTTTGAATCAAGAATTGCACAAAATGTGATTAACAAAGAACATTTTTAGGCACATTTTTGTAGATTCTGTATGTACAGTTCTCATTTTCTACTATCCCTCTGCCTGCAGCATGCAATGGTTTTGACAGAAGAACCAAATCATACTGGTTTTAATAATATTAAAGAAGAAAAAAACCCACCAAAGTCTAAGAAGAATTTGTAAAGTGTTAATCCTGTGCAAATATCTGCTGAAAAAATCAGTATGATTTTGCTGTGAAACACATTCTTACTGAAGACCAGGCTTCTGAGCACTCTCCTCGTACGAAAGTATTGAACAATGCACATAGTCTACACAATTCCGGTTCCTACAGTCACTTAAACCCAGACATATACACGTAAAATCAATAATTGTCACTTGAATGTTTTCACTGTTTTTAATAATAAAGTACTGCATTCTTTCACAGTAAAACCTTTTTATTATTAACTTACCGCATCCAGTGAATTCCAGAAGCTACTGTAGGATTAAGTTCATGATCGATTATACTTTCTCACAATCTTGAAGCTTAAATTTTGATTTCTGACCAGATGTCTCAGCACTATTAAAAAGACAGCAGTTTGTTTTTACCTGATATTTTGTACATGTGAAGTGCAGCTTTTGTAAAACAAAAGTCAAAGAACAAAATAAATTATTAAATATTTAATTACTTTAAAAAAGAAACTAAATATTCTTGAAATCAACATGTATGCTGCTCTAGCCAATGCTATACTCAAGGGTGTGGGACATGAGGAAACAAAGACAAACAATTGTGCTTATGGTATTTTTTCCCCTTGGAAATGATGAGTTCCTCCAAGGAGTATTTTGAATATTTTCATAGAAGTTAACATGGAATATATGGATTCAAATGTTTTCTCTTAATAGCTTTCTTAAAGCAGAGATTTTCTTTTTTTTTTTAAGTACTTGTACCATAAAAAACTCAAGGACTCTGTAAGCATTCAAGATTATGTAAAGGAGCAGCACAGGTGGTATTTTCCATATAAAAGCATATACACAGTTCTAACTTAAAACCATGAGAAGAAATTAAAATATCCTTCCGACTTTTAAAGGCCTGCTAATAAGAAAATACAGGAGGGTCCTGAAGATGCATCTCAGATTATAATAGACATAATTATATGAGAATCACATAGCAAAATCCAGAATTTAATTATACAGGGTACCACCTTAAGTACAGCTCGCTATTATTCTTGCTTTTATCTTAATTTCCATAATTGATCCAATCTCAATTCCATTACTATACTTCCTTATCAACACCATGCATTACTTGATAAGCAAAAGCATTTATACAAAATGAAAAACTTCTGGAAAAAAAAAAGAAGCATCCAAACAAAAACATTTACCTTTAAACTGACAAAAATACATGCTTTCTGTGAGCAAAGCAATTAATGCTTTCTCTTTCTTCCTGTATACCCCAGGATCATGACTACCAAACTCTTTCACTGAAAGTTTTGGTAACAAGACAGTATCTTCAAATGTTTGCAACTGACAAACCGACTGTTTCTGTAGGTACAGAAACCCCTTGAAAAAAGAAAGAAAAAAGGAAAAAGAAAAAAAAGAAGCAAAAAAAAAAAAAAAAAAAAAAAAGGTTGCATCAGGTAAAGGGTAAGGACTCATCGCAAGTCAGTAAGTTACACCAAAGAAGAACAGAAGTTATTATGAATGTATTTACACAACTGTTTAAGTACACAAATACAGTGGTAGTACAAATGAAGTGATTTGAGATACTGGTTTATACACAGGTTTATATAGACAGTCTAACTATTTTCTGCATGATGGAATTTAACTATTATGAGGACAAAAACTGCCCACAAGTGAGTACAATTCTTGAAGTCTGCAGTCAACTCTTAAGTATAGTACAGCAATCTAATGGTCCAGATACATAAGAAATAAAAAGGCTGCTTTTGTAAGTCTCTCAAACATTACACTATTAACCACATATATTTACAAGGAAAGCACAGTGAAGTGTAAAACTGCTCAAATGGTAGTGCACATGCCTAAAATACCAGTTTATAGTAACTGAGGAAATAATTCTCTTATGCAAACTTATCGATCAATCAAATTCTCAAGCTTTTCCACTATACTCTCCCCAAACACATATTTCCCCAGTCTGACCCAGAATACACACAAGCAAATAGCTAATGTTATGGAAGCAGTCAAAGAAGAATGATAATATTTAGTACATGGACTTTTGAGAGGGGCAAAAAATAATTTGTAAACACCCAAAAAATAAAAAAACTGCTCTCCATAAAAATCTGAAGACCAATACACCTTTTAAACTTGTCTCCAGGCAGGGATGAATTTCTCAAAATACCTAACTGTTCAAACAAAATCTCTGTACATACTTTCATTTCCAGCAATTTCAGTCATAATAGTTCTGGTACTGTTCCAAGTACTGTAAGGACAGAACACGTACTTTTATGAGACTGTGTATAGTAACAGACAATATGAACAATTTCCCAGATTTCATAACCAACAGGAGCCAACAACACCTGCAACAACCTGAGCATGTTAAGTCATTCACGCCTAGATAATAACTCTGGGCATATGCAGGTTGAATATATTTAAGACTTAAATAGATACGCATCTGAATTGTAAAAATTCTCAGGATTTTACTGCAAGAATAGGTTATTATTTTTTGCGGGGTGTTTTGTTTAAGAATTCCTTTTTGAGTCTTGGTATGTAACAGAAGGTCTAAATCAATGTATTTATTTATAAACATGTGGATACTGAATGAAACAAGCAAATTCACAGAAGACTCAGCAGCTATGTCTGTTTTGCACTTGTAATAGCCTCCAAGCTAACCAGCCTCAGAGAAGAGGAAACAAAATCTTCCCAGTAAAAACAATGTTTGAAAGTATCCATTCACCCAAACTAAGCAGAGAGACTGAACAAGCTTTCTAATTCTAAATCCCTCAAATGTCAGTCTTTCACTTTGTCGTTCATGCTCTTTACAAAAAAGAAATTCATCATTACGATCTCTACTATACTTAAGACTCTCCTGCACGGTATTTAGTTATCCTCTTCTATGAAACACAATGAGTGTTAAAAATTTCTTTGTGCTACACAGAAAGTTAAATGTCCAGTGTGAATGAAGACAGTGAGCAGTCAAATAAACAGTTTTAAAACTTCATGAGAAAACCAACTCAGAATGGGACGATACATGAAAGTAAACAATTTAAATAACATCAGATGGTTTTGATTCATTTACATGTTCCCTGGCAGACTAACCTTTTAAACAAGAAATTTCAAGTCACTGTCTTTAGTTCAGGTTTGTTTATATTCTACATTTTTAAATCAGACAAAAGCAAGAGTTCTTTACAGAGAAGTAAGCCAATAATTTTAGCAAAATTATACAAAAAACTTTCTTAAACCAAGTAAAAGATTTATAGTTATAATAGAATAATAAAAAGAGAGTAAAGTCTGCCGCCTGTGGAGGGAAAACTGAAATGGCCATCCAGTAACAGGCGGTGAACTCTGTAAACCATCTTTCTTTTCCAGCCCTGTTACCACAGGGTTCTCTTAAGGTCATTGGGTTTCTGGCAAAAGCGTCCTGTAATGGCAGCTGCTGAAGTCTCTGCATGTTCCTCCAAGCGCCTTTTAGGTCACATGGAGAACTCCAATTTCCACTCTAGTTTAGGGTGTATTTGCTAGTAAAGCCATTGGTAACGTGGGAGATCAGCCATGCATTATCTGCCCTCCATGGCAAAATAATTTTCATCGGTGCACAGCAGACTGGAGAACACTGGTAGTAACCCGAGCAGGAATCTACCAAAGCCAAAAAACAAGACAACATCAGCACATATCCTTCCAGTCAATATACAAGTGTCTTGCAATGCACTTTTAAGCTATTAATTGCCAAAACTTTAAGTGTGTGAATTCAAAATCCAATCAGCAATACAGTATTTCACATCCACCAGTAGCTACACAAAGTTCCTTATTATTTTCCTCCTTTTTTAGAAGATAACATGGAAAATTCACCTTTCCAGCCAGAGGTGATGTTTTGAAGAAAATTAGACAGAGCATAAACATGTGCAGAAGAAAGAACCAACCAGATGAAAACACCATGAATGCACAGTAATAGACTCAATGGATAATTAATTAAAAAGAAATTAAGAAGGTAAAAAAGAAATTAATTATTTTCAATAGCTTTTCACTTTCCATGGGACATTGTGTTAAAAGATACTTCTTGTATCTCCATAGTTTGACCTACTGAAGTAAGAGGGTAGCATTATTTCAGTATCATTTTCACCATGAAAGTGAAAAACAACCATACATCTCTGCAATTTAAGAAGCGAGAAACATATAAACAGCTGGATCAGTATTCAGTATTTGTTTCAGTGTGAACAGCTACAAATACTAAGGCATACAGTATAGGCCAACCAATGCAGGCACAACCCAGACCAGAATTTGCATGTCTCCTGCAGAGAGGCTTTTCAATGCAAAGCTTTAGGTGCGCTTTTTTGCGTTTTTAATATCTATTTTTTTACCAAGATCTGATAACTGGTCTTTAAAGCGTTGAGCTGCCATTTACAGTAGGATCTTTTTAATGTTATAAACTGTTCATGAAGCAGCTTGTGCAGAATCAGCCAAGCACACAAAGCAGGAAGAAAAATAGCAGGATTCTTCACCAACTAGAGATACAGAATTAATGCAAGCTTAGGCTTTATAGAGAAAGTGAGACAGCAGACAAGAGTTATACAACAGAATTTATTAAGGAACAGAAAATTTCACAGCGCCTTTTTTTTTAATAAGTAGCAAATCAAAGAAGCTCTCTAAATACTTAAGAAAAGCATCCCTCAGCCATTAAGGTTCAGATTCCAAATGAAAGCTGTTATTTCTCATATGAAACCTGTTAATGCCAAAAGCGAAACAGAGTAAAAAGCCAAAAGCTGCACCCAGAGAGGCAGAAACTTCTACTGCACTGAACAGTGGAAAGGACCTCATAACACCCAAATTCAAATCTGTCTACCTCCGAGATGCTCATGATCAACTATTCTTGTATGTATGTGATTATTTTTTAAATACAGATCTGAACAGATCTATTTTTAAAATGAGTGCTCATAAGGCATGGAGAAGAATATAAAACAGTGAAAAATGGACACGGCTGTAGTAGAACATTCCATTCACAAGACAAGACAGAGCCTCATTTGAGCAATACTGTCAATTTAGTCTTCATGCAGCTATTTTGTTTTTATGATTCTGAAGCAGATCTGGTTTTTAATGGATGACATACTGCTGCATCAACACCCTTGGAAAGACATAATTCTCATACAATAAAAATTTAGACTTGGTTATTTTGCTTTATTGTTGATACTTTACAATTTTACGGTCACTGTAAAGTCACTGTTACTGTCAATTCTAATTAAGAGTCCAAGTGGAACAGCAGCAATAACTCAGCCTTTGGAAAGACATTGACTTATAAGTTAAGAGAAAAATCAATGCTTCATCAAGCAGCTGACCAGAAGGCACAGATACAACTATGAGATCACACGAATAGGAAGAGTGAAGTCGGATGTTTCTAAAGAGTTTTTCCCCACCCCATACAAAGTTTTGGTGTCTAATGAGAAGCACTCACCCAGTGCTGCCTTCCAACGAAAGGAGACGAGCAGCTACTTGCCATGGTGTTCGAAAGGAATGCTATTCTGAGGTAGGGGAAAAGACAGCAATTTGTAACAGTTCCACTGCCCCAATATATAAAGATGTCTTAAAAATCCAACCTGAACTTGCAGCAGCAACTCTATCTTTTGAGAAGCTCTGATTTCAGACTTCCATAAGATATTCCCATCATATTAAGAGACATGTAAAAGAAACAAATCATTAATCCTCAAAGGCAGCTGACAGGGTCAGAAGAACAACGCAGAGCATGATGCCTATTAAGATGGGTATGTGGAGAAAGATTTGCAGATGTGGAAATGGAAAATGCAGAAGCACTGGAAGTATGGCACAACACTTAAGTTATTTAATGCCAGTGTTGACTACAGTCTTCTAAAAATTTCTTCTGTCAAAGAGACTTACTCAAATATTTCTTTGTGCAGCATTTCAATCTTTCCTTCAACTACAGAGAGAATACCTCTATTACCAATAGGAATTTGCCACTGCTTTGACTGTTGGGTGCTGAACATGCTACATTCAAGAAAAAAATATTAAGCAACTTACTGTGTAACCATGAGCAGTCAGACTGAAGCTTTCCTTGAAGGAAATGAAGACTACTCACCCATAACTAGACACTGGAGATATCACTGCTTTCAGGATGCAGTCAGTGAATGTGGACCAGCTGAACTGATTCAAAGTAGCTTTCACTAGAATACTCATTACCTCATTCACTACCTCCTTTACTACGCCTTTTAATGTTTAAAATCTATGTATAAAGGAGACTTAGGCAACAATTCACTTAAGAAAGTTTAAGAGCAGAAGGATCTTTAAACAGCTGGTATGATTTTCTGTGCAACACAGATCACAACCCTTCATTGCATACAGACCTGTAATTTAGGCTTGCTTTAGACTTGAACACGTTATTTCTGATATGAAATTTCTTTGCTAAGTCACCATGAGCAGTAAGGATGATTTCAGTGCTGACTATCAATCATTCACTTAGAAATGAATCCAGTATTGATGTAAAGGCACAGAGGAGAGGCGATCTACTTATTTTAGAAGTTGTTTCAGTAGGTAACTACTTCCACTTAGACCTCTATTTATCCTTTCTTTACTTGTGAATGTTTTAATTTTAAGCAATAGGTTTTTCACATGTTTTCTCCTTAAACAATAATTCCTGTTAAAATCATTGTGTCTCAAACAGTACATCAACTCACTCAAGACATTTTCTTAGCTTTTTGTACAAACTGAAAGAAGTAGGTTTGAAACTCTGACACTGTACAATCTGTTCTCCCAATCCATCTCACTAATGACACAAAATAACACCTCCACTTCTGTTCATTACTGTATCATATGTAGATTCAACGAGGAAATTGTGCCCTTTCATTAGGAAATCACACTAACCTCTCCAACATTACACCTGCCTCCTCAGTCATTACTTACCACAGATACAGTTCCCCTATACAGGAAAACGGCCTCCACTCCTTCATCCTAACCAGAATCTGGAGCACTGCAGGAATACACATTTGAATAGCCGGCACTCAACTGCTCAGCTCCCACTGAAGTTTATCACTGTAAACTCACAACTTCCAGGTTTTTCGCTGTTGCATTCACTTCATATAATCCAGAAAAGTACTGAATTACATGAGCCATAGAAGTTACATAATTTCATTAGAAACGAGTTTCACGAACCATTTCATAGACAGTGTAGTTGTTACTCCAATAAATGCTCGTTACTTAAGTGTTAGATATTGCATGTCTTATTAATGAGAATGACTTAAGGTGCTACGTGGACACTACCTTGGATATGAGGAATAAATGACACCTGTTTTGCTATGCTTACCAATTACCATTTTTACATGAGCATCAAATTTCTCTGAGAATGCCTAGTTTTCATAAGAGAACTTTGGTTCCTATTATTTGCATTCATAGCCTTAGTTTTTCAGTTTCAGTCTGACCTGATCAGAATTCAGTTTGGAAAAAAGAAAGATAAACACATGGAGTAGTCATCTTTAAGAACTCTACTTAGAGGGAAGTAGTCTTCCTTGTTTGAGTAACCTCTGCACATTTCACTGTCCAGAATTTAACAAGCAGCAGCCATTCCTCTTGATGAATAGAGGTGGAGATTACAGATGCACCATTGCCTTACCAAACCAAGGCATAGAGTAAATGAAATAACCAAACGAACTTATCAAGTTATAAGTAAGAACTCTAATTAACGTAGTTCTTAACAGAAAACATTTGCAGATGTGCACGGCAAGTACCAAAAATTGCCTTCTACCAGAGTATGGCTTAAGCACTTCCTGAAAAAGGACCTGTGGTAGTGTATTTATTTAAGACTTACTAAGGAAACTAGCACACTTGGAATGGACATGGACAAACAATTGCTATTCTTTATGGTTCTCTTGACAAGAAGTGATACGGATGACTCTATCTTTTTACATCTCTCCAACCAAAATTCTCTTTAATGACTTTGCCATGTAACTCATACACTTTAGGTCTTCCTAAGAACAAGGTATAAAGACAATTGGAAACTCATGGCTGTAACTGTTAACCTGCCTAACATCTAAGGATAAATTCTGATTACAGAAGAGCTACTTTAGTATTATGAAGACTATTAAGAGTATCAATCGACTAAAAAGCTATCAACACCTGCAATTTGCACCATCTTGCCTGTGAGAGAGTGAGAACTGGGAAAATGACAAGTGAATTTTCTCTTACAAGTTCAAGTGGAAGTGTTACAAGCTGAAGTCTGAGTAAAGTGTTTCAGCCACACCACCCAAGTTGCTGAAGGTGAAGGCAGGGATTAGGAAAATGAAGAACCATTCACTGTGGAAGACAACAGTGTTTGGGACTGTTTAAGGAACCTGAAAGTGCACGAGTCTGTGGGACCTGATGACACACATCCATGGGGTCTGAGGGAATGGGCTGAGTAAATGGCTACACCACTATCCATCATATTTGAGACATCACGGTAGTCCAGTGTAGTTCCCTGTGAGTGGAAAAGGGGAAGCCATAATCCCCAGCTTTATAAAGGGAAATATGACACAGACCACTCAGGAAACTGCCCACTGGCCTCACAGTATTTGGATTTTACAAGCTAGGCAGAACCAAAATGGATCTACAAGCCCAACTGTGTTACTTGTATCTTGAAATGTTTACAATAGTGTCACCTGCACACTAAGCAACGTGCCATGGACTATGCGTTATTTACCTGACTGTTAACAGAGACAAAGCATCTGAGATTTGCTCAGAATGCCAAAGAACTGGCTTATACACTTTTCCAAGAAATCATCTTTACATTAAAGTACATGTTCAGGGAGAAGTCTGCATCACAACCTCACAGAATATTCAAGGTCAAAAAGAACCCCTGGAAATCATGTAGCCCAATCCCACTACCCAAAGCACAGTCAACTATAGCAGGCCACTCAGGACAATGTCCAATTGGGCTCCAATTAATTTGGAAAAGAGACTCCACAACCTCTTTGGGCAACCTGTTATAGTCCTTGTCTACCTCCATAGTAAAAAAGTTTCTTTGTATGTCTAAATAGAATTTCCTGTATTTCAATTTGTGCCCACTCTCCATTGTCCATTCACTGGAAATTGCTGTGAACAGTCTGGTTGCACCTTCTTTACATTCTTCTAATAGGTATTTATGCAAACTTACAAGATCCATAAATATGCACAATTCTCCCTTCTTTGCTTTCAAACTACTTAAAAATACTTCAACGTGAGAATTGCTGGTGGCAAGAATAGCAGTTCAATGAACAATTTAAGATGGTGAAACTTGTACCCAAAGCCAATACAGAAAACCTCACCTATCCTCTATTCTTGTCCAGTCATTTCTGCTCCTGAACTGTTCATCCCATGTGCAAGCACAAGTATCTGTGCAGCTACATGGTGAAAGAACTCATTCAACTTAAATCCCCCCCAAATCCCACTTCGCTTTTATCACAATGGAATTTTCTCCAATCCAGTTCACTCTCAGTCTTCATTAGCGATATTCACCTGGCCTCCATCTAAAAAGCTGTTCTTTCCAGCAGTAAGATTTCATATGAAAGAACATGTACTATCCAAAAGTAATTAACTCTGCCAATTAAATGATGAAGCCAAAAAGAAACGAGCTAATTTTTGTGAATGTGCTCTGTCAACGAGGAACAAGTCCCTGGCAAAAATTATGCAGTTAGAGCTCCTGTACAGTAGTGAGGCATGATGGAAAAACCCCTAGGTCATTGCAACAGTCCCCCTAACATACTGCTTCCCCAGAAATGGTGCAGAATGTCTATAGATTGGCTGATTTCCATTTTGTAAGTAAGACCAAAAGTAAATTTTACAAAGCAAAGCCACATGCTGTTTGGGACAAAACTGTCAATATGCAGAGGAAGGAATGTTTCCACAATAGCACAGTTAGAAACACACTTAACATTGTCAATCCTAAAAAGAAAGACTCCTAACATTTCTTTGGATGATTTCAGTGCTGAATACAAATCATTATCATTTACCCTCCTGCCATACTCCTCAAATGAGCCTTCTGCAACATACCCATCATCCATGTATGTATGTGGCCTCTTAGCAGCTCTGAATTAAGAGCACTGCACTAAAGCATTTTTTCACTATTGCACCTTCCATTCTTCACCAAATGCTTCTTGCCTTTTCTGCACCAATACTCTCTGCTCTGTTGGATTGGAAACAAGATTCACTACTGTCTCTTACTCTGCTTCTTCACTGGTAACAGATATAAGAAACTCAATGAGTCAAGGAGCTAAATCCCATAATAGTAGGTTAAAATGCCACACCTCTAGAATTCTGCATCCTCTCATTGCTGTCAAGGTAAAGATAAATATTTCTTTACACCCACATAATTCAAGGTAAATTTCAAGCATTTACATGAATGAACATCATATCACGTCAATTACCTGGTAAGTTCTTTTGGCAAATTAACTTTATCAAATCGTCCTCTTTTTTTCAATACACAGATTTATTTTTTTTTTACCTGCGAAGTTGACATGCGAGATGTATCTTGTCGGCCTGTTAAATCAGATGAGGAGATATTGACTGGGGCACCACGATGCAACCTCATACTCACTTTCCTTTCTCGTTCCATACCAGATACTTGCCGAGGAGAGGTGGTGGCTGTGAGAAAAACTGCATTAGATTCCCACAATGATAAATGCCATGTTAACACGGTCACTGGAAAAATTACACTCTTGCTGTTTGCACATAAAAATTCCACAGAACCAAACGACGAATCAAAGCTGTTTCTTGACATTTCATGGAAATACAAGTATCAACTGCTAGGCAACGAGCGTATGCAATTACATTCAATCTCATAAAAAGCAGGGGAGAAAAAACCAAACCAAAAGGCCAAATTCTGCCCAGAGACAAAGTGCTGATGAGAGTAGTCTACAAGATGCACTTACCCAAGTACTTGCTTACTTACCAGCATGTGAAGTTGGGGTAAGAGGTGTAGGAGGAGCTACATCTTGTGTTCCTCTAAGCCTGCCAGAAGCAGTGGAAGGTAATCCACGTACAGCTGAATTTCGTGTATGTCTTAATCTTTCCTCTCGTTCTCGCCTTTCCCGTTCAGCATCTTCAGCTGCTCTACTTGCACCCTATGGGTCAAGACTAGTGAATAACTTGGGAGACTACGGAGCTTACAACTCTAAGTTTGGATAAAAGTACTGAAAAGAAAGAACTGGACAATGTGTGAAGTTTGATAGGGCATCAACTGTTTTGGTAAAATTTCTCAAGAACTGCCATAACTTTTGTTCATACAGCTGCTCGCATAGTCTTCAAAATGTACACATATACTAATGTACACATATACTGTTATGGCAGCTGGACACTTCCTCAAATGTGGAAAATGACCCATGTTAAAGATCAAGGTGAGAGTAAGTTATAATTCTGCAACCTAGCCTGGTGACTGCCCGAAAGGATTTAAGAAGACTTCCACATTAAAAGCCTTGTAACTGTAATTTAGTTGTCATCCAAGCCTTATAGCATGCATCCCGTATCTCCTACTTTTCCTCATGTCCTGATCTTTTTGTGTATACTGTAGAGTTGCCAGCAGGAAAAATGGAAGGCAGTCTTAGAGTACCAGTTAAGATACTCAAAACTGGCAATGTAATAAAAAACCCCAACCAAAACCATTAAAAAAAAATCGAAGTTTTAGAAAGCTATGTGAGCTACTCACAAATTTCAGCATGTTCCAGTCAAATACATAGTCATAGGAGAATCCTTGCCGATGAAAGAGGTTTCTGAATAATTGCCTTAGATAGGAATAATCCGGCTTGTCATCGAAGCGCAAAGAACGGCAGAAATTCAAGTATGTGGCAAATTCAGCTGTAATAAAAGAAAGCCTGATTTTTATCTTCAGCTTCACATTGGCTTTTTGTAATTCTGAGTCAAAAAACCCAAACCACCTCAAACCCAAAAAGCAGGGAATCTTCTTAACGTAAGAGAAAGAATAATGATCTAATACTAGAAATACACCAAAGGGAACACTACCATGTCAATCCTGAAAAATAAATTATTTTTCTATCTCAGAGCAGGCAAAGATCTCATCTGTCAACAGCAGAGAGGACCCAACAGTACAGTTCTTTAACCAACAACTGGTGGGGAAGAAAAGGTTTAAAACTTTGATTGGAATATACTGAACACAATTTACTGCGGGACACGGAACAGCATTTCTTTGTTAAGCCACACAGAGATTCATGTCTGCTGCATCTCAGAACACACAAAAACTTCATCTCCCAGGTCATGCCACATTTTTAATTTACAATAGTCTGAATGCTTGTTTGTAAATGGCAAGCAAAATATTACATAGCAAAAAAATGAATACTGTAGTGAATGTACTGTGAATGTGCTGTACTGTGGTGTACTGTAGTGCACCAGAGAAAATAGCAGTATCAAAATACTAGCTTCTGACTTTAGGTCTTCCCAAATAAGACATTAATTTCTATTAAGAAAGGAATTCTAACAAATGGCACAGGAGAAGCTGATTAGTCTTCCCTGCCTGTAAACCCCAGAAAAAACACATAGTTTATGAATGTAAAGGAACACGTATGAAGCAACACCTGAAACACATTAAAAATGATGAATTTTCACACAACCCAAACAAAAAACTATAATTCTTGTCACTGTAACTAGTTGCCAAACCCATGAGGATGGAAAGATGAGACAGAACTCTTTGTCAAATGAAAATATTCTCTGATGACAGCTAGTGTTACTAAGTTTTAAAGCAAATTTAAGTATCATTTCACAATACTCAAGATTATTATTGTTTTGGTGTAAATAACAAACTGAGAAACAGAACTGCTTTGAGGCACGATGCTGGGATACAGCAGGGTTTCTTATGCCTCTCAAAAATTCTAATCCATCAGTAGGCCAAACCAGATGAACCTGGGATGATAATTCCCAAGTGAAACAACTGCAGTAGGTAAGAGTACATCTGACTGTACAATCCAATACATCCAGTATGAAATCCATAAGAAACAGTATCCATACAGACAGAGAAAGAGGCAGTTTGTTAAAATGCTATTTGTCTGTTACCAATTAGCAAGCCGACAGGTGCATAAAAAATACAGAGCAAATCAGGTGTACCATGCTACCCTTCCTCTTGAGGGCACTTCAATAGTTGAGACAAGAGATCCCTAGAAATGCTACGAACACAAAAGATCTCAGTCTTCAGCAGAATAATTTTACCACACGTGGTAAAATCATGAGGGATAAGGAAGAAGAAGAAGAGAGGGAGAGAGAAGGGGAGAGGGAGAGACAGTGGAAAAGAGTAGTAGAATTTAATGTAAGGAAAGGAGATGTACCACTGAAACATGAACGCTTAGGCCAAAGAAGAGCAACTTACAAGGATATCCTTTACACAAAACCTCAATGGGTGTAGACATTTTCTTTTCACTGATACGTTCGTATTTCTGCCTCTTTGTTGCTGCTTTCAGTCCCTGCCAGGGGAGGGAGCCCAGGTTAAAATACATCAGTACATAGCCCAAGGACTCCAAGTCATCTCTGCGAGATTGCTCTACAACAGTATAAAAAAGTGAACTCATTAGGTTTCATTTTCTACTGGAAAAACAAAAGTCTGTGCAACAAGACTGCTATAAAAACCCTTACAAAACCAAGAGACAGCTAAGAGTTACTGTGCCCATGATAAACTCATTCAGTACAAGAAAAGCCTATTATCCTTGCACTTATTAAAAAATGTGCTAATTCCCGAGCACTGCAAACTGACTGAATCCCACCTCATCGAGACATGCAAGGCTGTGCACGCTGCACTCGTAGTGTCAAAAAATAGGGACCGTCTCCTATACCTCCACAAAGCAACATCCACTTGCACTAAAATTACATGCATTGACACTTGTGAAGTTTCAATTTACTGCTTTCCCCGGCTCACCAATCCCAAGATGAGTGTTGATGGACGCGTAACGGGCAGTTCCTGTTAGGTTTTTATTTTCACGATATGGAATATGTTGGTGAGTTCGAGCATCTCGATACTTCTTTGCTAGTCCAAAGTCTATTATGTAGACAAGATTGCCTTTCTTCCCCAGGCCCATTAAGAAATTATCTGGCTTCACATCTCGGTGGATGAAGTTCTTAGAGTGAATATATTCAATTCGACTAATCTAAATACAGAACCACAAAAAAAAAATCATTGTCGAGAGACGAAGCACACATCTTTTTCTGACAAAAACACTACCAATTCTGTCTTAATAATGAAAGAGGCAACCCTCCTTTATATTGTAAAATATAAGAGCATTAAAGAGAACATAATTCAGAAGACAACCAAAAAACCTTCTTTCCAGCTCTTTGCTCCTGTCTATTTACATCTGTTTCCAAAAACCTTCTCGGGAAAATTCTTAGTCTTTGAGCAGTACAACACCTGGTATGCAAATGGTGCAGGTCCAGTTTTTAAGGAAGAACTGGTAATCAGTTTTGATGGGATAGTTTGCATTTACAGAACTAATTTTGAACCTTTCCTCTATTAATACAGCCTATTCAGCTCTAAATTTTAGAAATAAAATGTGTATGATCTATAAAAAAAAAAAGTTAATATCCCAATATATTGCACTGTCAAGATAACAAAACAGTTTCCTACCATTTGGTCAGCAAGTAATAGGACTGTCTTGAGACTAAATTTCCTTGAACAAAAATTGAAGAGATCTTCAAGACTCGGTCCCAACAACTCCATCACCATAACATTGTAGTCCCCTTCAGCTCCACACCACTTAATTGTGGGAATACCCACTAGGAAAAAAATAAACCATTTATTCAGTATAACAATTTGATTTATATAATTAATACACACAAATCTTCAAGGCTCTTAAGATGAATTCTGAGGGTCACTACCATGAATGTTTCCATTTCCAGTGAAGTTTAATATTTTATGCTACTTTCAGACATTCCAAAATTAAAGGCTTGTTAACTTCCAGCAGAATCAATACAAAATTATAGCAACAGAAGTGTAAAAATAGCCCTTTTTCTCTTCCCCAGAAACCTTCCAGTCTTGTACTTACCTTGTAACTTTAAAGTATTGAACATAGATGGATTTGAACCCTAAGCATTTTACCAATATTAATACTCCTGTAGTCTCTAAGATGCAATAAGGCACGAATCAGAAGTCTGAAAATAAAGACCCTAACAAACCACTAGATGCTATTACTAAGGAAGGCCTTAGAAATTAACTTAGTTTCAAAACCAACAAAATCACCATGAAATACCTGTCTCTTTCATCAAAATTTGCAATGCATTTCCACCCTTCCTTCATATCCTGGTCTTTCCTTCAGTTCCACGGTATTTCCTGTTTGGTGAATCTCTACCAAAGTAGCATGGTTTAAGAGATGCATTATTCATTCAGTTTTACAGTATGACAATTAGCTTAAATTTATGGAGGAAGTCAGGAACATTATTTCACATAAAAATGTAGAAATGTTCAAATACTTTGGAATAAACCTGTATGTAGGTTATTCAGATTTTCAAATGCCTTACTCTGAGTTATGTCTATGCATTTTGGTGTGAAATGCTGTAATTCACCGAATGTAAATGAAGCATGTTACTCTCTGAAGACTATTCCGGTTACACACAGGTGGCAACTGAATGAGGCAGGAATTAAAAAATAACTAAATGCAAATACACATTATTATCAATTTCTAGAGGTCTTATTATCATACTTGACGCATGACATGGAGCATGGAATGTAATGTACTCTTTACGCAATGCATATCCTCATTTAGGAAGAATTCATGGGACTATGAAGCAAACACAAAACTGAACTACACCAGGTTTATGTCCCAGAATTGCACAGGAACGTATATGAATAAGTTACTGTAGCAGAGCAACATGAAGGAGATATGAAGTTGCTCCACTCCTATTCTCCACTAGTAATGCCATTTTGTCTTTGAACTCTCCCAGCAAGGAAGTGTTTGTAACTCAGAAGAAAGAATGCTATCATGTACAACAGAAATTAACCCGATTTTTAGAAATTTAGAATTGTGCTACCATAATAAGCAAGTCAGGCGAAATGATCCAAAGCAGTGGTTACCATCTTTCACTGACCCATGAAAATCAGAAATAAATTACCGTTCAGGGACAAAACTTTGTTTCACATTGCACAAGGTCCTCCTATTTTAATATTTTAGAAACCATGAGAAACTTTGGAGGATCTCACTGGTTATCATGAAGCATGGTAGCCGTGGATTTGGAACTGCTCCCCTCCAACCCTTGCAGAACTGCAATGCTGCTCTTCCACTACCCTGCTACCTTTCCCACCTTATCCTTATTTCTCTAAAGAGATCCCAAACATTAACTGCCAGGGGGCAGATACATCAAGAGCGTAAAAACAGGAGAATCTTTGAAGAAGGAAAAGAGTTTGCTTGCCTCCACCCTGCATCATTTTGTAGATTTTACTCTCGATGTGGAGCTGAGGATGTTTGGTTTTCACACATTCCAACTTTATTGCAACCTCTTCTCCGGCAGCAATATCAGTTCCTAAAACCAGAAGAATTTAAACATTGATCAAAATATTTTTAAGATGCACTTTCTTTGTCAAAACCAAAACAAAACGAACATCAACAAACTATTTCTTAATGGCAAACATCCAGAGATTAAATACTTTCAGTCACATCTCCTGAAACCTTACAGATACTCTCCAACAGACTAGGATTGCAAGAGAAAACTATTAGACACTGTAGCGCAAGAAGTCAAAATTGCTGCTATCCCATTAAAAAACAAACAACAAAACTAAACCAAGTCCATCTTCTCAAGGATGTCTTTCCACTTCCAGCTTGTGCCAAAAATGTTCAGAATTAATATTTGCAAACATGGCACAGAGCCTTGCCAACAGAAGAAATACTAGGAATTCAAATCACCTCCTTTTATGCTTTGAAAATAGAGACTACGATTTCCCTAGGCCTCAACATACTCCAGCTGTACCCTGACACCTCATTTTACTTGGCTGAAAGGCAGATTATCTAGACTAAAGAAACTGAAGTCTGCAAAAGCTTTCTTTGAATCCCATTAAATTCTTGTTTCTGCAATCAAAAAATGTCTTACCTGTTCACTTTCAAAGTATGTAGGAAGAAACTGACATTCTTAAAAAGAAACAGTCAAGAAAACACACACTCTCACAGCAAGCAACTTGCAAACTAAAGGAAAAAAGGAAATAGTGAAAGGAAATGTGTGACACTTCACAGACGTATTGCCAGGTCCCTCTATTTTCATAGTTGGTCCCTTTTCTGCTTTACATCATGGTTCAAGATCATGTGAAGTACATCACCTACCGTTTGATCTGATCCCCACTTTCAAAAGCCTAACTTGAGGTTCACTGGTTGTTTTGTTTTGTCAAGAATAAGCAAATGAACTTTTGTACTCACTTTTTCCATTATCAGGATTGCATACACTTTTACACTACATCACTTTCCCTTAACTCTTTTCAGAGCTCAAAAACTCTTATCATTCCCTGTATAAGTAATTTTTAATTACTGTGTATTATTTCCCATTTCTCTTATCTGTACCTTTGTCAGTTCCATAATGCTCTTGCTGGAAGTCACACAAAGCAATTAAGACACATGTGCATAACGACGTATTTTTCTGCCTACCTATTTTTTCCGGTATGTTTTTCTTTGACAGTTACATTGTACTGACCTAACTTTTATAGTTACAAAACCCTGTTCCTGTTGCGAAGGAGCTACTTCAGTGCTTTACAGACTTTTATGCTATAAAGTCAGGAAGATAAAGGCTACGAAGACATGCTAACATCCCACTCCTCAAAACGGACATGACTGTTCACTTTGGCAGGAACTGATACTGCACGGAATCATCTGAGCTCCCACAAGACTGTGCGTCTTTTTCTGCGTTAATAAAATATCTTTCCATTTGCACGCATGTATGGGTATCAAGGCGGCGTTGCCAGAACACAGAGTTTCACTGAGTGGACACCCAGCAGGTATCTATTAGGCATTCCACAATGCTGCTTAAAAAATCAACAAATATATATGAAGCTCACTTGAGATATAATAAGCACAACTCATGACCATCAACTGAAAAATGCAAAAGAAAAATAAGGCTGTACATATATCTGTCTCATACAACTCCTTTTTATCTAGCATAACAGGTGACAGGATCCTGGATTGCTACTTTGGACACAGTACAGTTGCAGCAACTGAAAGGTCTTCAATAGGTAAAGCAGTATTTTTCACATTTCATGAATGAATTATTTTGGTGGACTTCAGATTAATCACGGTGAACATCAACCCAGAGATCTTAAAGCATGTATCAACAATATAAGGAGGAAGGACTTAATACTGACCTCCCCAACCCAAATGAAAGTCTCTATTTTGAACCACACAACTCCTGACCTTTCTTGATTATCTCTTTTTCTCCAGATTTCTACCGGAGCCAAAATCAGGGAGGTCTGTAGACCGAAGACCATATTAACGGATGAGCGGTCAACAGCAATGGCGTTGTTTTGGAGTTCTGGTTGGTTTGGATTTTTTTAAAAAAACTTTTCTGATCCAAAACAGACACAAACTTCCATCTACATATAATGAAAGACATCTCTCTCTAAAGATAGCTGCAGACTTCTGTGGTTGATTAACACAAAAACCGTGTAGGAGGATCAAGACCCCTATTATCAGGATCAAGTTCTGCTCAACGCACTATTAAATTTACTGGACAGACCATAGTTTCGATCTGCTAGGTCACTTCTTAGCATACTTGCTCTTCTCAAGAAGTCTTTATCACCTAAGAAAGCCATGATCCTTAGCCTGAACTCCACTTCCGTGTAAGCCCTCTCCTTCAAGACAAGAGATTTTGTACTAAAATAACGCAATTAATAATTCTGAGTCCAGCAAAACCAATGGGGGCACAAAAAGGGAAATCATTTTGCCAAGCAATCCAGTACTTGTCCCCAAACAGAGATTTCTGTCTACACCTTAAGCCTGAGACAAAAGTTTCTAAAATTTTACAGCACCCTGTATTTCATCAAAAGCTTAGCTTCCTTCCTTTAAGGAACACGTAATAGTATTTGAGAAGCAGCAGTTCTATGAAAAGAATCATTAATTAAAAAGCAGCAACAAGCAGTATAATGAGAAGTCATAATTTCAAGTGAAAAAGAAAGACTAAAGTTGTGAAAGCAGCTTTTTTTTTTTAAATGCAAAATTCTAATGTACTTAATAATTGCCAAATCCTCTTCCCTAGGGAAGGCCTTGGAAATTATTTTAATTAGTTTACAACCTAAAACTAATTCTTAAGAAAAATATATACATCACACAAGAAACCATGAAAACACTGCAAACATGAAAACACTACTCTGTCTTCATGACTCATTCCTACTTGACCTCATGGTCTGGGCAACAAAAGAAATGCTTACTCTGATCCACTCACTCCACCTTTTATACTACTTAGAATACCTGTGTATTAATTCCTTTCATATCTTCCTTTGGAAGGCAACATAGGCAAACCCCTAAATCTTATTTTCTTTAGGTTGTCCATGTTTATTTACAGTAGTGCCTTACATTTAAAAATCCTGTCCCACAGGATTCCACATTCCACATTCCACAAGACAAATTTTGAGGTACGAAGGAGAAGAGCAAAGAATGTGAAAGAACCACGCTCCTAACAGTGTTGCTGGTTCCTTATTCCAAAGTAGGGTAAAAGGGAAATGGTGGAAAAATGAAAGAAGTCCCTCCCCTCTACTTTGGAATGTTTTCAACACCCTTGTAGCTGCATTTAAGACAAAACGTGGGGACTGGAAACAGGCAAAAATATTCAAATCTTCCTTTTCAAAGCATAAAACTGAGCTGGGAAGGTACGCTGAGCTAATCTACAAATTCACTGAGGCCTATCAGAAGGCATGTCTACTTAAAAATAAATAATGACTTCTGAAATAACTTTAGAAATTACTTTAAGGCACTTATGTCTAGTATACAATCTGAACAATCAAGAAGTAACTGGAATTTTTCAAAAACCAACCACATTTCATTATCACAAAAAACATAGTTTTCAAACATCTATTCTACCAGATAATGGTAGGCAAACCAAATGGGACTCATTTCCCTTGGAAAAATAAACCCATGCCACCAGCTGGATCTTCTATTCACATACTTCCATGCTAGTTACTGGCTAAGTCATGACATTTGCAGTAAGCCCTGAAAGTAAATCCATGACAATTATCTAGAAATTTTAAAAAAAGTAAAATCCAAGGGGTTTATTGCAGATAATTCAGTATGGCGTGAATATATACACTAGCATACTGGAAACTTTCTGTGCAACTTCACTGGTGTGAGCTGCATGCATAGAGATAAAAGTGACACATAAACGTTTATTTCACTTGCACTTGATATTAATAATGTAATACAATCTGGTTTATCTGAGTAATCGTCAAAAGTAAAAATTTTTCTAATCATCTAAGACTTTTCAGATTTTAACTGCTGTCTTAATTTCCCCCCAAAATCCCTATGGAAGCTAACAAGGATTTCTGCACAAGCTTTACCACTATCTTCTACGGTCACATCTCCAATCTTCTATACATGGACTGCAGAGAGGAAGAATAATTTTCTCTGTCTCTACACAATCACATACCTTCAGTTAAAAATATGTATTTTTCATCAGGCATATGATCTGTCTTATGGGAAACCAGTATTTCATCATCTGTAAACAAGCAGCTTTAGGTAACGAATTATTTTGGACTGCAAGATGTCTAGAAGAATAACCCCCACCCCTCATACTTCATGCACTGCCAAACATACCACATAAGCTAGCAAGTGACATTATCTTCCTTTGCCCCTGCAAGTTCCAGTTCCCCCTCGCTTCCTTGATTTGCTTTTCTAAGTTAACACAATTTTCAAAAGCAGAATACTTGTGTCTACTGGACGGGCCATAACGCTCGTGTTTTTTCACATTTCTTCGTGTTTCTTCACATGGCTTGAGAGTCTGCCGCATAAGCAGAGTATTTTAAAAACACCTGCTTTCAAAACTTCTTGTGCCCACCACCTGCGCTTGTCATAAGCAATAGCAGTAGGCTATCATGTTAGAGAGCTATAATAACGGACTGGCATAGATAAATTCCAATCCTGTACGTTTTGGAATTGCACAGCGACCACGATTAGGCTATGGTCAAGCAACACGATTAGTCAAACTACGAGGATTATTTGAAGGATTTGAAGTTTTTTTTTACTGCAACCTAATCACCTGTAGTTGTGTAAATTTTTTTTAGGCCTCACAGGAGAAAGAGACATCCTTCTGACACCAATTTTTCCTAGTCCACTGCAGCGATATTTAACCCTGTTACACGTTTCTTTACGAAAACGTTTTTCCGAATGTGGTGGGTTGTGAAGGTTTTAGAGTTTTGCGGTTTTGTTTCAACCCCCCCCGCCCCCGTGTTTTCAAACGAGGCGATTTTTACCCTTATGCCCATTTTACAGAAGCGAACAGTGCCCAAGGTCAATAGACAATAATGAGAAGAGGCAGCTGAGTAAAACCAGAATTCCAGATTTCCGCACTGTCCAAATCAGGACATGATGTCAACGACATATTAAATTACTGCTGCTGTGCCCCTAGCCCAGGTACTGGCCCGACCCGACAAGGCCCTCGATGTCCTCCACACAGCCACAAAACGGGCCAGCTAAATCCCCAGCGAGCCAACCTCCTTACCCAGGTAGATATCCCCGAAGGAGCCGCTCCCGATCTTCCGGCCCAGCCGGTACCGGTTCCCAACCCTCAGCTCCATGGCGGCAGCTCGGTTCGTCCGCAACCTGGTTCTGTTGCTCTGCCCGGCCTGCTGGCTCTCGTTCTGAGACCTCACAGTCCTGCAGTTTCGGGCGCCATCGCGGCTTTGTTCTCGCCGCTCGATACTAGCGAGACAGGCAAGACCGTCGCCCCAGCTCCCGAGCAAGATGGACACGGATTCCCGACACAAACGGCCCCTCAGCCGCTGTGGTCCCGAGCCGCCATACTGCGTGACCTCACTTCCCTAGCGACGGGGGCGGGGCGCTGCCGCAGGGCCGGGCGCGCGGCGGGCGGGGCGCAGCTGCGGTCGCTGCTCCCCGGCCCCGCCGCTCTCCCGGTGTTCCGTTCGGGACAAGCTGGGCGCTGATTCCTGCCCTGTGGCATCGGGCCGTCCCAGCCGCCTGCCGGGCGGCGAACGAGGCCCGCAGTCTTCCCAAGTGCAGCTTGGTCTGGGAGAAATCCTGATCCGTTCAGAATTTTAGCAGGCAGATGCCCGCTCCCGGCCACAGATCCCTGGACACAAACGGTGGCCTATTTCCCCGTGAAACAAAACTCACCCTCCCAGTCTCGTAATGTCAGTTTGGAGCAGGCGTTTGTCACTCCAAAGACAGCCAGGGATTTAAGTCATGGCAGCTCAGGCCTGGGAGAAATCCTGATCCATTCGGAATTTTAGCAGGCAGAAGCCCAGTCCCTCGTCATGGACCGTGACACAAACCGTGGCCCTTTTCCAATTGAAGCCAAACTCACTCTCCGAGTTTCCTGATACCACTTTGGAGGAGGCACTTGGCACTCAAGCAGCAGCCAGTTTTCTAAGTTGTGGTAGCTTGCCCGTGCGAGGAATCCTGCATTATTAGGAGAAAATAATTTTAAGTTGGGGACAAAATATGTTCTTTTCCAGAATTGTCTGTGTTTAAATTGAGGGGGAGTCCTCTTCCCCTGCCATTTTAATGGTATCAATTGAACCCTGCCTTTTCCATGATGTCAGGGATATCAACTGACAGGGAATCCCCATTTTCCATTCTTTTCCAGTTCAAATGGAAGAGGAGAACCTTGACAATGTTCTTTTATGGGTTTGAATACAGGGTAACTCCTGCATTTTCACCATCCTACTGTTTAAATTGAGGGGGAAGCCCGGTTGTCCCTCCTTTTAAAGTGATTTTTAAGGGTTTCAGTTGAGGGGAAAAAAAATCTCCCTTTTTCCATCATTGGGTATATTTAAAGTGAGGAAAGCCCCACTTTTCCCAATATTTTAGGGGATTAAATCGAAAGGGAGAAGCGGTTTATTTGCAATTTTATCGGTGGAAGTGGAGGTAACTGCCCCATTTCCTCCTTGTAAGAGATTCAGTTGAAGGAAGCTCCACCCTTTTCAGCATTTTAAGGGATTAAAATTGCATTTCAGGGCAGTTCTACCTGTGCCCCTGTAACAAATATGTTCAGGGTAAACATATAAAGAATAGAAAAATAAAAATATAGATATATTTGTATCGATATAAAACATCTTCAGATTAATCTATATGAAATATAGATTCTATAATGTAAATAATGCAAATAAAAGAATATGTATAAATATGAATGATAAATATGAAAATAGAAATATGAAAATAGTATGTGTTACAAACAAGCTCCTCTTTGTTCTGTTAATGTTCTGTTAGCTGTGGAAAGCTCCCCGTTTTGATGTTAATTGTTGCCGTTGTTCTGGTCTGACTCCCACTCCCTGGAATTGCCTTGCCCTGAACGGTGCCAGGCAAATCAGAAAACCGCAGGTGCTCATGGGACACAACTCAGTGACAAAAACCCCTAAAACCAACGAGCCAGTGTAACATGGAAAACTAAAAATGGCCCTGCCAAATAAGAAAAGCAGTGCCGGAGATGCCATCAACAAGCAGGACTCTGCTGCCTTGTCACCGTGATCTGAACAGCATCGGATGGACATGACAGCCCTGCAGCAGGGCCCGAGCTCTATGGGGCGCGGTCCTCGGGCGAGAATGGTGGGCGCGTTTGCTGTGGTTCGCAGGAATGACTTTGTTGTGTTCGGGATCACTCAGCGGGAAGAGCGGGGGTACAGGAAACGCGTCAGGCCCAGAGCTGGTTTACCCAGCAAAAGCATTGATACGGGAGTTGCTCCCTTCGACTTTTTCTATTTCGGGGGAGTCTCACGTAAATGATGGTGGTATGATTGGTTTTTATTTGATGTCAGGTTGGGTTTTATAGAGAGAAAAGAAACAAGAAGATAGCCAAAAATGCAATAAGCGTATACAGACATCAAATTATAAATATATATGCATTTCTAAATATATGTAAGTAGAGATATGAAGTAGAAGTAAAGATAGGTACATATATAGTATTTAATATAAATATTATTGTATATATATTGTTATAGTATATTTTAAGATACAATATACATAGTATAGATATATGAATATAAAGTACAGATATCAATATGAAAACTGTAAATAGAAAAATATATTTAAATAGAGTTCAAAATAAAGGGAGTTTTTCTTTCTATTTGGTTAGAGGTAGGGTTTTTACATAAGACTAAAAATATAAACATAAAAATACATAAAAATTTACACATAAAATAAAAAAATATTAGGAATATAAAGATATATATATATTTAATGAGTAATAATATTGTATATGTGGTACATCATAATGGAAATTAAATTGAATCTATAAAATACGTATAGGTTATGAACTGGAATATAAATTAAACATTTTAAAAAGATAGAATTTTTTTATATCTAGAGTTGTTTTCTTATAGTTTTCATTTGGTTTTTTTTGTTGGTTTTTTTT